TAGTATAGTACTTCAGTCTGGCGAGTAAACAAAAAAATATACTAGCCTATATACTATAACTGATATGAAAAAAATAAGAAACAGTTATTTCAATGAAAATCCATCAAATGTGAGCAGTCACTGAATTTTAGCAATCAATTTACTGAATTTACTGAATACACAAATATATTATGACTTTTTTTTAACTTACAAAAAATGTACATTTAACAGTACTTTACTGTACAATTACATAATATTTCCAATGATCTATTACAGTTTGTCACAGTATAGAGTAAGGGAACTTATTTTTAGCCAATTAACAGATTTTTACTCTGGTTTTTTTTTTTATCAGTGCATTTGTAATTCATTTTAATAGTAAACAGAAGGTAAAACTAAAGACTCTGAAGTAGCTGTACAGTATGACCGAAGTAAAAACGGGGCAGCAATCAACTAAAGGTGCTTTGTAAAACAATGCAACTCATGCTGTAAGTGTAGTCCGCTCCTGTTCATTATTATGGGAGTGATCTTGGATCTTTTGTTGTTTCTGGTGTAAAGTTAGTGTGCAATTCCCTGTTGTAGTCACAGTAGAGGTAACATAATTTGGATTCCCAATAAAATTGTTTTTGTTCAGATTAATGAGCATGCCACATTTTTACGATTGTGTGGGGACTTGACCAAGCAATAGTTTACCTGCCAGGTCATACCATGTCACCTCTATTGAGAATGATATTTCACTGGAGGCAACCTTAATGCAAAAATCAATATAGGCTATTCTCTCTGAATAAATGGCCAGTGTCTCTGAACTCTGTCATATGTTGGAACCATTTATTTGATTGTCTATTGTATAAGGAGCAGTGTTAAGCACACTCGATAGTAGCACAGTCATTGCACGCTTTAATAATGTACAACACTGCGTAAATGGCAAGAATTTGCTAAACAACATATTGTTCTGTACTGTGGTGCAGAGGAAAAACACAGTAAAACATTGATATGTTGATATTTTTAAATGATTTCTGTATTTTATCAAACAGGATGGAATGTTTTAGAGTGACAAACTAGCTACAAAACACCACAACATATCACAGACAAGCGCATTTCTAATGTGCTCATGTGCTGTTGTTTTTCCACTAACAATGATCAGGGTACTGGGCATAAGGTAACATGCACTATATGAACAAAAGTATTAGGAGACCAGACCATTACACCAACAGTGACTTTACAGTTTTTCTCAATCGATTTGACACTTTTCTCCAATGCAATGTACTTGTTCTCAAAACAATTAACACAGCCATCCAAACACAAAATTATCTCAACTAAACAGTTCTACTTTACTGCAAAATGAAGCACTGCAATTTGTTCTAGTAATGCATTTATTAAAAGTAAATATTAACATAAAATCTATAGGTGTGTTCTCTATTGATTATAAAACACATTCAGCTGTAGATGCACAAATATGCTAATGAAAATATGTTTATTGACGCACACAACCTGATTAATATTCATGAATCCAGTAGCTCATTAATCCTTAGTGCGTTTTTATATTGTTCTTAGTAGAATTCGTATAATAATAATAATATCTTATCAGTATTATTGTTGGGGTTTTTTTTACAGGAACACTGAATGACCAAAAAAAGTCCCAGCACCAGTCCTAAGTTCATGGTTACCCAGCTTTAATTCTAATTACTAAACTTCTATTATTAAATAATACAGCTACAAAACACCACAACATATCACAGACAAGCGCATTTCTAATGTGCTCATGTGCTGTTGTTTTTCCACTAACAATGATCAGGGTACTGGGCATAAGGTAACATGCACTATATGAACAAAAGTATTAGGAGACCAGACCATTACACCAACAGTGACTTTACAGTTTTTCTCAATCGATTTGACACTTTTCTCCAATGCAATGTACTTGTTCTCAAAACAATTAACACAGCCATCCAAACACAAAATTATCTCAACTAAACAGTTCTACTTTACTGCAAAATGAAGCACTGCAATTTGTTCTAGTAATGCATTTATTAAAAGTAAATATTAACATAAAATCTATAGGTGTGTTCTCTATTGATTATAAAACACATTCAGCTGTAGATGCACAAATATGCTAATGAAAATATGTTTATTGCGATCCTTCAACAGTTATAATTCTTCAACAGTTTTGTATATATATATATATATATATATATATATATAGTGTATATCTTAAACGTTATCGCCCATTAGAAAAAAAACAAAAAACAAATTGCCCCTTTAAACTTAAAATCTTTGTGCCACCTTTATCAACAAGAACTGCAAACAAACTTTTCTGATAACTACAGAGCAGTCTTTTACAGCACAGTGGTGGATTATACACACACACACAAGCACACACATATAAACATACATACATATACATACATACATATATATATATATACAGTATTCAGTTTAGGGCCAATCGAAAATATACCATGTTCATTTGATCGAATGACAAATTACAGCGTTTTGTTTGTTGTGTTTGGGACAAATGGTACATAAAAGTTTATGATTTGGGTAAAAAAAAAAACATTTTCTCAGATATTTTAAAGTATTGGTTGGTTGTATTAACTATTGTGAAAACATTTGAGAGTTTTGTGCACATTGTTTTGAGAAAATGATTTGCATGATTTGAAATTTGTATGAAATTAATAAAAACATACAATCTGTTTAGGACAATTACAAAGTGTTCCGATCACCTGAGTTTGGAGAAATGTGCCAAATCCATTGAGAAAAACCGTAATCAAGTCAAGTCACCTTTATTTATGTAGTGCTTCATGCAATACAGATTGTTTCACAGTGATAAACTCTAAAAAGACAATAGTAAACAGTCATTATTTAGGCCTAGTTGAAATCAGTTAATTGTTGATTCAGTTCTGTTCAATAACTGTGTAAAGTTCATCAATTATGAAAAGAGTTTGAAGCAGTTCTGGAGACAGTGAAAACAGTAATGTCATCATCCAGTTCAGATCAGTTCTCATTCAGTAGTGTCTGTGCAGTCAAGTCAATATTATTGACAAATATTACGTGTCCCCAACTAAGCAAGCCAGTGGTAACACTGGCAAGGAACCTAAACTCCATCGGCGACAGAAATGTAGGGGGGAAAAATGGAGTGTTTCTGTGGAAATATTTTCCCATTCATCCAATAGAACATGTTTGAGGACAGACATTAATGTTGGTGTGGAATCTCCCTTCCAGCTCATCCCTAAGGTCTTTGATTGGGTTGAGGTCAGGGCTCTGTGTGGGCCAGTCAAGTTCTTCCACACCAAACTCAACCAACCACGTATTTATGGACTGGGGCACAGTCATGCTGGAGTAGAAAAGGGCTTTCCCCAAACTGTTTCTACAAAGTTTGAAGCAACAAAAGTTTGAACCCAACCCCTGAAAAAAGTACCACACTTGAATACACTGAGCTCTTCAGAATTACCCACTTTTTTCACAAATGTTTGTAAATGCAGACTGTGGTACTACATTTGAATCTGAACATACTTCAGGACCGAAAAAAAAATAAAAATAAATATATATA